CTTGTTTCTGCAGGTCAGTGCCCACAGTGCCTTATAGATAGCATTTAAAAAAGGACAGAGATCTCATGCATAAATCAGAAAGCACAGCAGTTATGTGTGAAACTTTATGACTTCTTCAACAACCTGGGCTTTAATGCAAAGAGAACTCTTTAATTTCTGACTTGAGTCAAGGCATTTATTTCTTTTCTGGGCACGTTACATGATGGTACTTACTATGCACATGTTCGCTTTAAGTGGTTACATTTTACAGAAAACATAGGAGACAATGTGGCTAATCACATCAGAGAAGAAGGACATTTGCAAATAAATGCAAAGGGAAAAGTGGTTGAACTGGTTACACTTGTCCTCGGAAAGTTTAGCATGGATTATAGGAAGTTACATTTCAGTAAATGTTTTCTGCCTCAATTCAGGGTGAGGGAGTTTTAGCAAAAGCAAGTCTCATAGCAGTCTAGGTACAATGCAGGCCTTATTCTCCATGGGAGAACCTATCTGTGGGTGTGGGTCTTATCTGGGTTCACACTACGCAGAACAGTCTCCTATAGCAGTTAACTACAAAAAGCTTAGGATACAGGTTAAGAGAGGATTCATCCAGTTTTTCACCAAAGAAAGCATATGGGGTCAGACAAATTGGATGCTTGTGAAACAGGCTAGAACAAGGTTAGTCACCCCGGGAAGAGTGGGGTGGGGAGGAAGAGGGGAAATGGTCAGAATTCAGGCCTGTCAATAGGGAAGAGCAAGTCTGCACCTGGAGGGTGGGCACATCGAAGTGGAGGGGCATTGAGGCCACTTTAAAACTCCCTTTCCACTGGATTTTGGTTTAAAAATTACCCTTTTAAATCAGGTCAAACTGGATATGTAGAGTGTATTAACATAGCATTGAAATATTAACTGGGTATTCTTTTTCATATGGCTCAAGGCTTTTTTGGTTGGTTTTCATTTTTTAATTTAAATTTAATTAACTTTCAATATTATTTTGTATTAATTTCAGGTGTACAGCATAGTGGTTAGACAGTCATTTAGTTTACAAAGTGATTCCCCTGATATTACCAGTACCCACCTGGCACCACACCTAGTTATTACAATGTTATTGACTATATTCCATATGCTGTACTTTCCATGTGGCATGTTACTGTTCAAGAAGAGACCTGAAATATTTAGAACGCTGACCATTGTGTTCTTTAAATATATAATGGTCCTATCACTTTAGAGAATGCTTTATGTGTTTCCTCTCTCTTAACCTATTTCACACTCATGAAAACATTATTATCCTCATTTTACGAATAAGGAAACCAAGTCCCGGAGTGATTATATTACTGGCCCAAAACTGGACAGCTGTTAAGTAGCAGAGCCAGGCTGTCTTGCTTCAAATTCTGCACCTTTAGATGCTTTGTTATGTTGCTTTTCTTCATGGAGAGGTTCTAAGAATTCCATTATCATTAAGATTGAGGTTCAATATTTGGATAAGAGGGGACCCAGAACCCTAAGTGCTCTTAGAAACACCCTAAACCCATCTCTCCCCATCTTTTGCTTCCCTGTGGCAGGGTGCTGTGTTCTCTCTCATGGTGCAGTTTTCACTTCCACAATCCATAGGCATTCCTCATTAAAAGCAGTATGTATATCTTTTATCATAATGAAAAGTGAATGGAGCTGAAGTTATGAATGAGTATTATTATTTTAAAATAATTTGACTTCAATAAAATATTGCACATGTAAATTCCATTTAGCATGTTTGGTCTATCAGCTAAGAAATCCAAATTAAAAATTGTTTTGTTTGTTTACTTCTCGATAAGGAAGGTTAGTCAAGGAATTCTTTTAAATTGCTACATTATTTCTCAGCTTAAAAGACACAGATGAAATTATTCAGAAGACAGATGCTATGGCAAGAAATTGGGGCTAAACTAACATCCATCAGTTTGCAAATGAATATTTGTATTATCTCTACTAATAAAGCATAAAATAATTTCTTTCCATTGAATTTGAATTACACTGATAGTTACAAAAATAAAAACAAGTATTTTAAAAGGGATGCCTATTTTCATCACTGTGAGAGTTCCTGTTTAGGTTGGGAACATAAGTTAGGATGAAAGTTAAAGTTGAAATAGGTATTATGGATAAGACTATGACTTCATTATTAGTTTTCTTATTTTTCCCTCAACTTTTCACTTTGAAAAATATCAAACTACAGAAAATTTAAGAGCAGTAACATCAGTATCTGCATGCCATCCACACATATCACTGATTAACATTCTGCCTTTGCTTTATCTGTCTCTGCAAATAGATCAATCTATTCTATTTAATTCTATTTATTTTTTATGGACCACCCAAAAATAAGTTGTAGGTATTATAATATGTTAAATCCTTAATTCTTTAATATTCATTACCTGAGAATAAGGTATTATACAAATATAGTTGTATATATTATGCAACTATAATAACATTGGTATACCATAACATTTAACAATGACACCATAAAATCATCTAATATAGAGTTTATATTCAAATTTCTCTAATTTTCCCAGTGAAGTATTTTATGGATTTTTGTGGGGTTTTTTGTTTATTTGCTTATTTGTTTCTTTTTTATGAAGTATCCACTAAAGGATCATGTGTGTCATTAGGCTGTTGAGTCTGTTTAGTCTCCTATAATGTACAGCAGTCTTCTACCTTTGTTTTCTTTCATAACATCGATGTCCTAGTAGACTACAGGCAATTGTTTCCAAATCTGGAGACGTCTGATTGTTTCCTAATCATTAAGTTCAGATCAAATATTTTTGGCAAGAATTCTACATAGGGGTATGGTGTGCCTCCTCATTTTACTACATCTAGAGGTTCATAATGTCAGTTTGTGCCATGGTTAGTGAGGCCGAGTGTGTTGACTTGGTCAAGGCCGTATCGACTGGCCTTCTTCATTGTAAAGTTATCACTTGCTCTCTGTAATTAACAAGTCATCTCAGCCCTGCTTTGGAAGAAATGGCACTGACTCGCTCGGCTCCTTCCCCTTAAATACAACTATAAACCTTGGAAATAATACAAAAAACAACCAAAGTAACTTTTATGCTGTGAAAATATAAAGAGAAAGAGGGCATAGTTAGGGACCTGACAACTGAAGGAACAACAGTGGCAGCCAATTTAGGATCCCCCCACCCTCCCCGCCAACAGCCTAGGTCTGGCATTCCCCAGCCCCAAACTGCAACAGGAGGTGGTGGCTCAGATAAGTTCCTCTCTCCCCCTAAGCAAACACAGTCCTTCCAAGCTCCCCAGGACAGCCTGTTTGCACTCGCCAGGGAATCAACCGGGAGGCCCACTCACAATAAATGGTCAGAGGACATGCTGTCCTTTCCTGCCAAACTTGAGACTTCACTTGTTTACTGAAGATACCAGTCATTTTAGTCCCTTTTATGGACAAAAGGTACCACCAAAGGGGATCTTTCTACAACAAAGCTTGACCTGGGAACCCTTTTTGTCCCTATTGTCACAAATTGCCTTCGACTACCTGAGGCACTAGATGCACAACCTTGAGAAGCTCCTTCTGCCCCTCAGGCAACATCAGCAGATACAGGGGGAGCTGCAGGGACACCAGACACACCCGGCAGAATGAAACTGCTGTGCAGGAGTTTTGAAAGTTAAATTCTCATTGGAACCGCAAGCCATGAAAGTAGGCCAGGTGGCTGGCTGCCTTCTAAAATAAAAGATAGAAATAGGCCCAGAGACTCCTAAAATAATAGCAAATTGTGCCGACTACAATAAAAAAAATCACCAGTTACATCAAGAACCAGGAAAATCACACCTTAGATGAGCAATGGTAGTCAACTAACGCCAACATTAGGATGAAGGAATGGTGAAATTATCTGGCAAAGATTTTAAATTAATGTGTTTCCTAAAATAGAGTCAGAAGGCAAAGTGACACCATTCTTCCGTCAGATGTTAGATCACAGCGTGTGGCTCACTTTCCTCAGTGAACATGCATCTTGGGATTTCTCTGACAGTGTCAGAGGCACCCAAACCCTCAGCCATCCTACTTTACAGCTTGGAGTTTCATTTTGGATTTTGCCCCTTAAATCTACTAACTAATTCTGTTTAAAAAAAAAACACAGCAATCAAAAAACTGCTTCGATGAGCAATTCCAAGTTCCCTCAAAACAAAGGAGAACATAAAATATCAACAAATAGAAATATCGAAAATGAACCAGGTGAAAATTATGTAACTAGAAACTATATAAAAGGAATTAAAATTTGTTGATTGGACCCAGTAATAGCAAGTTACTTTGTGGATATCAACTAACTGATTCTAAAGTTTGTGTGGACAGGCAAAAGACCCAGAACAGTGAACAAATGACTGAGAGAGAAGTACAAAATCGAGGAACTGATACTACCTGACTTCAAGGCTTACGATAAATATGTAGTAATCAAGACAGTGCATATTAGCAAAAGAATGCACAATGGAACAGAGTAGAGAGCCCAGAAACAGCCCAGGAGTATAGCGAACTACTCTTTGACAAAGGAGCCAAGGCAATCCGGTGGAGCAAAGATAGTCTTTTCAACAAATGGTTCTGGGACAACTGGACATCCGCATGTTTAAAAAAAAATGAACCTAGACAGAGATCTTACATTCTCCACAAAAATTAATTCTAAATGGATCACAGGCCTAAATGTAGAATGCAAAACTGTAAAACTAGAAAATAGTAGGTAAAAACCTTCATGACCTTGGGTATGGCAGTGACTTTTTAGATACTACACCCCAGGCACAATCTATGGCAGAAACAATTGATTAGCTGGATTTGATTAAAAGGAAGAACTTTTACTCTGTACCCACTTGAGAAATAAGGTACCAAAGGATGTCTGAGAAAGTAGACAGGATCTGTAAAAACTCAGGGAAGTTTTTACTAATATGTCCATACATTTGCATAGCAAAATAATTGAGTGAAATGTTTGTTGATTTTCTTTACTCGCCACAGCTAATGCATCATGCCATCACCGAAAGTTAACACTTACATATTTCCTCAGCTTAAAGGTGGAACCCAAGACCAAAGGATTGAAACAACAGCAACAGCAACATAAGAGGCTGCTGGCAGCGATGCTCTCTCAAGATTCTTTCGAGTCTATTCACAGCCCTACCCCTTCTGTAACAGAAGAAGATATTGATAATGAAGATGATGCAATGGAATTGCTGGGTAATTTTAAAAATTAATCATTTTTCTTTTCTTCTCTGGCATTGTAAAAATGTGTAGTGATTAAGAGATTTTAAAAGTTTCAAATAGTTTTGTCTTAGGGAAGAGAAAGAGTTTGAACACCTATTTTATTTACATTAGACTTTTATGAAGTTCCACCTAAGAACTAAGTTGAAATGACCTAAGCATGTGAACTGTGTCAGAGTGTATTTTGTGCTTTGTATTTGCAGCCCTTTGCCTTCCAATGATTTAATCAAGCTTATTCTGTGTGCAATTGTGAAAAAGATTCGAGTCTGTTTGCTTTATTCTCTGATGATAATTGCCTTGGTCACATCTTTTGTCTATAAAATGTATCCAAAGTACATGTTTTAGTCCTTATCTTAAGATGTTCCCCTGGTATTTCAAGGATGTTTCATAAAAACAGAGTAACATTTAAAGAGACAAAGAGTAAATAATGTTTATCTCTTCCATAAAGTAGGGAAGTTTGTAAAGATTTCAACTTTTTTACAGGCCTGTCACTTTCATAGGAAACCTTACTAATGTTGTATATGAAGCCAATCCTTTTGTATCCGTTGATGGAATTTTTGTGTCATCAGAAATCTTTTCATAGTAACTTTTAAAAATTGAACTTCCCTTTGGCAAACCATTTTTCCAAAACAAGAATGAAACTTTATTTTGGAGAAAGTGATCCACATAAAAAACAATGTTTTTGTTTCCGTACTATCAGTTATTCTGTTCTAAATAACTGGAGCAATTTTAAATGCTTTGTAACAATATACTAGTGAGAGAATAAATAGTCATTTGAAAGCTTCAAATAAGTTTAACATAGAATATTGAGTACCAGAAACATACATTAGTTAACATTTTTTCCTTAAACCATATTTTTTGGTTTTAAGTGTTTGTGACAGTAAAATAGTCTCATTACAATAAATGACGTCAGTCTCAGGGCACGGGCCCACAGAGCAGTTACTCAGTCAGCAATGGCAGGGTCACCGAGGTTTTCCGGATATGACTGCGTTTACCCCAGCGCTGGGGGACAACTATGTCATGGCATTTTCTCTTTGTGCTGTTGGCCTCTCCTCTCTATTTTCCTTCAAGGACAACTAAGCCTGGGAGCTTCTTAAGAAATCTTCTCTTCCTCACCTCCAAATCATTAGTGTGGCAGAATGCCAGATGTAGTGGTGGTATCATTTTTCAATCAATTTCTGTTTAGCAAATATTTACTGAGAACTTGCAATGTGCTAGGCAGTGGCCTCAGTCCTAGGGACATAAAAATAAAATAATCATAGTCTCTGTTTATAGGAACTTGACCTTCTAGTGTTCAAGGTGAAATGTAAATAGATGACTCCAGTAGTGTTCGATACAGGTGCTAATCTGATTAAGCTCTCTGTGGCATATATAGGCATAACACCTGATGTAGGAGACAGTGGTCAGGGAATGTTTCCTAAAGACACTGATTCCTGAAGGACAAGCAGGTGTGTGTTCAGCAGGCAGAGTGTGGTCATTACCCTTGCAGCTTTGCTCCTGTGGGAATGAACTCTCTTGCAGCTGTGCTCCAGGGCAAAGCCTGTAAATCGTTCTTCTGCTTCAGTCAGTAACAAAGAATTGATACCGGGTTGTGCCGATACCCTCCTTTCTCTCTCTTTCATATAAATGACTACTCATGGTCAACATGAAGGCAACCATACCTTGCCAAAGAATCTTCTAAAGAAATCCAGGCATGCTCAGAATCATTTTGGGATTCCCGGTAGCCTGGGCAGAGCAGAGGAAACCATAGAACTTCAGCGATATCTCACGGGATTTTTTAAGGAGACTCAGGTGTCCACTCAGCTGCTCTCTTCTCAAGTTGCTGGTCTCCCAAGAGGATTGAGTTTAGGAGACTATCTAATGTGAGCAACTAATAACTGGTCTTCATTATTTTTTTTCACTTAGACATTTTAGCCCGTGGTCTGAGTAAATTTAATGTAACCATGAGAGATAGGCAAAGGTTTGGGCTTTCTCCACGTCATTCTGCAGGTCTCAGCACAGGCCGCTGGTGGTGTACTGCGCTGCTCTCTAGGGAATAAGGTTTTCCTGCAATAACATGGGATGATCCCAGTCCCCTGGGCTGTCCCCTAAAGTAATGCCACACACAGCCTTCCCTGTTGCCTAGGTGACTCGGTGAACAACAGTGGCAGAGCAGAAAATTTTATCCAGAAGACGATTTCACCCAGATGGTTTGTCTAGGAGAAATGTCATTTGGGTATGAAATATGTTTGACTTTAAGGCCCGAATACTCCTATCCATTAATGTCATTTAATTATTCTAAAAATACATACTTAAAACATAAACTTAGAGTTTTCTTCAAAAGTAACTAGTATATATAAATGTATTCTTTAACAATGTTACTTATGTCTTTCACTAAGGTAATGGCTCATATTTTATATGCAATCAAAGAGATGTATAGTACGGAATAATTTCAGTGCATACAAGAGTAAAGAGTATTTTCGGTCATGATACAATAACAGTTTAACATGCCAAGTATGCATGTAGTAAAAAGTTATTAGCTTTTGAGGCCTGACATATTGAGTAGCTTTATATATCTCTTAATATCCCATTGGATTTCAGTGACTTCATTGGTACAATACTCCTAAATCTATTTAGAAACTATAAAAATCTACCTTTATAGTCCTTTTAATATTAGTTTTTCATCATTTTGTTTATCATTATAAACTTTTAAGACAATGTTTTTGAAACTCTGCTTCTAAAGAAGCATGTGGTTGTACTTGTTTGAAGAAAATACAAATGCTAAACTCTTGAAAATGTCGTGAAATCAAATTGCAGTATGTAGAATCAGTGTCACATGAGACAGAGGCATCCGGTATGTAAAATACCTTTTTGGACCCATCACATTTTATACATGAGTCAGCTATAGCTTGTGTGTTTTAAGACTTTAAATCATCATTGTTATCTATACCACGATTTAACTAGCTGAAAATTTTATTTATTATGCATGTGAAGCTCTCTGTAAGCTTTTTTGAAGTGGTAAATAAGTAAGTTTATGTTAACATAACAAAGGATTATTCCTCAGTAAAACTGGTTGTTTAAAAGGGGGAAAACCTTTTAGTGGAAGTAGTAAAAGTCAATAAAACTATTGATCCTTGTTTTGTTTATTAAGAAACCTGGCATCGTTAATATGTGCTGATGTTTAATTCTTCACAGTTGTTTAGTTGCATCTGTGTGGGTTTCTTTTCTGAATGTATTGGGTATGTGAAAAAGTTACAGTACAGCATCTCTAATTTTTACATAAAAATATTTTATGAAAGATTGCTTTAAATACACTTATAAATCCATAGTATAAAAGTAACTTAATATGGAATTAATCTATATCAAAAATAAAATATCCAATTTGTAGAGTGTAAGATATAACCATTTTAAGCACCTATGAAACTGGTGCTGTAATTACAGAAGGTGTTGAGCGGAACATCTGATTGTCACCTTAAAGTAAGTAACTCTCAACTTCAAATAGAGGATATCCCCGGATATTTTAGTAATTGAGCTAGAAATTAATGTCCATTATAAATGAATTCACTTACAATGAATAAAGCATTATAAAGAATTTTTATGATTTTAGTTGTTAAAATAACTTTTCAAAAGTGGAAAGTCAAGTTACAGTGGTACAAGATACAAAAATATGTACTTTATTTCATTAGTTTTTACAGAAAATTTGAGGGATGTCGTTAGTTTCAAAGATTTCACCTTGTAAATGTGAGCCCATTTTCATTATATTACATGCATTTTTTCTCTTTATTTTTGATGAAATGCTGATTGCAATTATATTTTTTATTATTCTTTACTTAAAGTATAACACAAAAGACACAACTACTTATCTTAGACATTTTCATGGGATAGTACTTTTAAAAGATTTTATGATTTCATAGAGTCGATAATGAGGCTAGTAGTGAAAATCACACTCTAGAGATACTAAAAAAGAACTAACAGCATTAGTCATGCTTTATACTTTCCAGCCTTATGTCAGAGTCATGTAAAAATTGAAACTAAGGTTATATTACCAAAACACATAAGATGATTGCAAGTATAGATTTGTTTTAAATTTAATAATTAACAGATATTATTATACTGGTATTCTTTACAGAATACAATACTCAAGTTTCTAAAACCTGAGTATCTTAGCAAATTCTGTAAAATATAAACCTAATTTTCTAGAGGGACTTATATTAAGATGATCCTTTGTCAAATTTTCTTTTGCATTTTGAAAGTAAACATTCACTCTCTGTTCTGCTTTTCCTCTTATTAACTGGAGACTTCTTAAAGTGGAAAACACTCGTATTTGCAAAGTAGGCACACGCATTTCACCTGATGAGAAATGGGTGTCCTCACCCTCTTACGTGTGTATGCCTGTGGGAGGGGCTCAAATGTATCCGTGTACCTGGATGGGAATGATCTGAAGTGTGCGATACAGGCCGAAGCACCTGGGACCACGCATACACACTTCGTTTCCTTTGCGTATGGACTGTTGGGAATATCAAGACAACAGAAAAGTGGTCACTTTAAAATGAAGATTCTTTTTAGAAAAGATTATTTTAAAAAGCATGAGGACTTCCAAAATTAAATTTGTGAATGCTTAAATTGCCTGTAAGATTGCTTTAAATACTATTTAGAAATTCATTCAGCATAGTACCAAAGTAACTTGATGTAGAATTAATACATATTAGAGAAATCACTAAATATCTGGGATGTCAAGATAAAACAATTTTGAGCACCAGTGAGTTAGTGCTTTAAAACTAGAACATACTGAATAAGTTATCTTCCAAATCATCTCTATTTAAAAAGGCCTTGTTTTTAAATATAAGACATTCTCAAATTTTTCAGTAGTTTCACTGGTAATTGATGACCACAACTAAACCTTATAGAAAATTGACACACATATTTTTAAATGTTCACTAATTGAACTAGTATAATGGAGAAACTAGAACCTCACGCAGATGTATGAAAATATATTT